GTGAGCAGCAGCTCATTTGCATTTAAAGAAACAGGCCCGGAAAACATCGTGTTTCTGCTTCCACTCAAAATAGGCATTTTCAAAATGTTATAATAAATGATCTGTGGAGTATTTTGAGCTGAAACTTCACAGACACATTCTGGGGACACCAGAGACTTATATTACATATTGTAAAAAGGGGCATAATATGTTTCCTTTAATACAACTATATTTTATGCCTATTTTTTATGTATTTGTAGTTGTGTTATGATAATATATAAAACATGTTGTCTTGTACCTAAGATGCCACCCATAGGAGCTGATTTCTGCAATCTAGCTTCATTGTTGGTATACCTAATGCTATGAGAAGTCCAAATGATGATGGTGGAGGAGCTCCATTATGGAGTGAAAACAGCAGCAATGTCAGGAGCAGGCCTTAATGAGACCTCTGTCTCTAAGGGCACAGCTGTCATTTTCAGAGCCACTCTCCTCCCTGCTCTCTGACCCATTCGTTTGCAGGAACACTGGTAATGAGACTGATCTGGGTCGCTTAAAACAGGGAAGAAGGGCACAAGCAGGTGTCATTACAACTGAGAAAAGCCAACCCCTGCTGAGTCTTAAGAAAGGACACACATTTGCACATGCCGCAGAATTCTGTCACACAGGAGAAATCTCAGGAAAATTGCATGAGGGTATAATCATTTAAACATGTTGCGTAGCATTTTGTGGTGCTGCATATATAGCCCATTGAAACCTCCACTTTCAACATTAATCATGCTTACACTATTACTTACATGCTAACACAACATAAAAACTATAAAGTAATAAAAGTAGGAAAAAAATATAAATATAAATTCAGTAAATATTAAAATGAATGTGTCCCAATTTACCCCTAATTTACAGTATGTATATGTATGTATGTATACACACACACACACACAGGTAGATAGATAGATAGATAGATAGATAGATAGATAGATATTATGCTGATTCACATGGCTACACTTATTATTACATAAAAAAAACCGAAATATTTTTAAGCCTTGTTGACCTTACAGGGAGGAGATTTCAAGACTTAAAGGGAAAAGGCGGAACCTCGTTACTCAAATGACCTTAAAGGGCAGACAAATATAATATGAATCGCATCCAAATTAGGAAAAAGTGGGCGGGAATACCATGCTCTCTGACCAATTAAAGCACGTGTCATCAAACAGCGTGGGAGGATCAGGCGCCTAGTGAGGTTCCTGTGGGCGTGGTCTGACGCGGCGGAGGCGGAGCTTTAGCCGGAAGTGTGAGTGGACTGGTTCTCCTTGTCATTTGGCTTCAGTAGATTGTGCCGTGGAAAGAGAAGGACAGCAGCGGCAGCGCAGCGAAGGGAGCAGCAGTGCGCTGGTGAAAAAAAAAAAGACAAGAGAAACGAAAATTTAACAATGAAATGGACGCATGAACGCATTGCAGTTCACCAGTAACCAAACTAGTCTTTTTATATTGAAGTCAATGACGTAGAATCGTCTGAGCAAGTGATTTAAAGGTTAGCAGCTGGCTAAAGCGAGACAGGGCTGTGTCATTGAGAAGGCAGGACACGTCAAGACGAGGAAGGGAGAAAAAATAGACACTCCTGTCGGATTAAAGATCCCCACTTTATAGTATCAGATCACCAGTTTATTCGAGCTTCTGCGTTAGTTTGCGTTGTGATAATATCTGGAACGAGTGTCTGTCCTCTCAGTCATCGCTTGGATAAGCCACGAAGGTGAAAATACATTTATTTATTGATTTTTGCGAACGTATTCATGATAAATCCCTAATATTAGATGTGTATCGTGTGTTTATGTTTTAAATCGTGCAGTATTGTGAATATTGTAGCGCGAGAGCAGAAGACGTCATCATTTTTCAGCTCGAGCATTCGTTCGTTGAAAAGGAAAGGGAATACTAAGGATTAGTTTTTTTGCCTTAGATGATATTTAAATTATAACAACAGCGGTACTTTATCGCGTTAGCTATCTGATTGTATTATTTCTGCGTCAGAAAAACACGGTCGAGTCGGCCTTTCGGTAGATATGAAGCCTTTTAGCAGTTCCTGTTGGATAAGCCGGTAGCCTGTTAGCTGCTAGCTGAAGAGACGTCACGAATCTATAATTAGAGCCTGAAAGATCTTTATAACTTGTGTTATAGCCAATATGGTATAATACTTTGCAACATAAACATGTCATATCATACATTTCCTGGCGATGGCGATCACATTTATCTGTGCTGTCAGTATTTGTGACGTCTGGTGGCATAGTGCCACATAGTCTCTCACCAAAGGGTGTCCTCAGTGTTTCCAGTGTGTCATGAATTATGTTGTGCAACTGCGTCATGGAGTATTTTAACCGTGGATATGCGTTCTTTTTCAGGGCTTAGGGAGTAAGAATAACTGTGTTGGAGCCAGGTTGAACTGGAGAACATAAATGGGGGATTACGGGTTTGGAGTCTTAGTGCAGAACAACACTGGCAACAAGTCTGCTTTCCCAGTACGAATCCACCCTCACCTGCAAGCGCCACACCACCACCAGAATGCGACCGCCAGCCCCGCCGCTTTCATAAACAGCACCCCGGCTGGAAATGGCAGCAGCAGTGGTTCGACCTGGCTGTTCCCGGCGACCGGTGCTCACAGCAACATGCAAGATGAAATTCTGGGCTCCGAGAAGCCCAAAGCCCAGCAGCAGGATCTGCAAGAGACCCAAGAGAAGCAGCAGCAGCAACTCTCCCCTGGACACCAGGAGAGCGGAATCATCTCTGAGCTGGAAAAGGCTCGTGCCGAAGAGAGTAAAGTGGAGAGCGGGTCATCCGACGGGACCAGCGGCAAGGAGAAGCTGCGTTTGGAGTCCCCCGTGCTGACGCCCTTTGACTATCAGGAGCCTTCGGGACTGGGCACAGTTGCTCAGTCCAGCACCTCCTCCTCCCTGACCAGCTTCAACAACTGGTCGGCTGCTATCCCTGCCACCCCGTCCACCATCATCAACGAGGACATCAGCTTCTTCAACCCGGCCGCCTCGGCCAACAATGGCCCTCTGCTGTTCCAGAATTTCTCCCACCACGTCAGCCCAGGCTTCGGCGGCAACTTCTCCCCTCAGATTGGTCCCATCTCCCAGCACCACCCACCTCACCCCCACTTCCAGCACCCTCACAGCCAGCACCAGCAGCATCGTCGTTCTCCGGCCAGTCCCCATCAGCCGCCGTTCCCCCACCGCAGTGCCCCCTTCGGCCAGCTGCCGCATCTCTCCAACAACCTGAGCAAGCCTCCCTCACCCTGGGGCAGCTACCAGAGCCCTTCGCCCTCTCCTTCTTCCACTTCGTGGAGCCCAGGTGGGGGTTACGGTGGTTGGGGTGGCTCCCAGGGCCGCGAGTACCGCCGTGGCTTGAATGGCGGTATGACTCCTCTCAACTCCATTTCCCCGCTGAAGAAGACCTTCCCCAACAACCACATGCCCCAGCAGAAGTATTCCCGCACCAGCCCCGGCTTCAACCCTAAGTCCTGGATGGATGACAGCAGGAGCGAGAACGTCTTCCCTTTCCAGGTGTGTATATTATATTGACACAATGATCTGCTTTAAAAATAGGTAACAAAAACCAGTGATTGACCAGTGATTGGAAAGGCCGATAAAGGCCCATTCACACCAAAGACGATAACTGTAACCATAACTATAACTATACAGTTTTAAGGGTGTAATTCACCACTGGCAAGATGGGCCTTTAATAAAATTTGGCCGTCTATGCAGTAGAAAGAGGATTTTTTTTGGGGGCTACATGATTAGAGAAAACGGGCTATGCCGTTCTTTTGCCGAAAAGGTAGGAAAACCTCAGCACACACAATGCAAGGTGCTCGATCTGACTGTTTGTGACTGAGGATAGAAAAATGCATGAGTAATACGTAGTTCTCACAAAATCCCTGGAGCTGTGTAATAATTGGTGAAATCTTGGTTTAGGCAACATGAAGAAAGACTGCACATCATTAATTTATACTAATTTCAGCTAAATTTTGTGGGTGAAAACAGGCCATGAGCAAAATCTGTGTGGAGAAATCTTTCGCCCTTGTGCAAAACCTCACGTTTCCGCTAATTACTTTTGGAATTCAAAGACGATAACTGTAACCATAACTATAACTATACAGTTTTAAGGGTGTAATTCACCACTGGCAAGATGGGCCTTTAATAAAATTTGGCCGTCTATGCAGTAGAAAGAGGATTTTTTTGGGGGGCTACATGATTAGAGAAAACGGGCTATGCCGTTCTTTTGCCGAAAAGGTAGGAAAACCTCAACACACACAATGCAAGGTGCTCGATCTGACTGTTTGTGACTGAGGATAGAAAAATGCATGAGTAATACGTAGTTCTCACAAAATCCCTGGAGCTGTGTAATAATTGGTGAAATCTTGGTTTAGGCAACATGAAGAAAGACTGCACATCATTATTTTATACTAATTTCAGCTAAATTTTGTGTGTGAAAACAGGCCATGAGCAAAATCTGTGTGGAGAAATCTTTTGCCCTCGTGCAAAACCTCACGTTTCCGCTAATTACTTTTGGAATTACTGGATTTTGCACATCTGACTGGCAAAAAAAAAAAAAAACTCTGTGAGGGTGCTCAACTATTGTAAACGATAAAAAGAAAGAAAGGTTGGCACACCACAGCTCCTAAAATGCAAAAATGTTTATTTCATGTTCTCATGCATTTTTGCATTTTAGAGCTGTGGTGTGCCAATCTTTCTTTCTTCTTAATGACTGGATTTCACACACGAAATTTCGCAGAGCAATTGTGAATGTGACCACACCTTTACGAGAATATGGAAATCTACACTACAACTGTAACGATAATGCGGAACAATGTATTTGGAATCACTTTAAGAATGATTTTAGATAATGAACAAAAAAATCATTGACAACCAATCAGAATCCAGCCGTCTTTAAAGAGCTTGAGCATTTAAAACAGAAGACGACAGAACTGCAGTGCTAATAATAAACAGAGCATTATCGACCGTTGATGTGAATGCTAATATTGTGATCGTTGTTATGTTTATCGTTCTTGGTCTGAACAGGCTTTAGCTGTTCCAAAATCTACTCAAAGCTTTATAAAAGACCATTTTTAATCTTGGTTAGTTAAATAATGTTAATAATAGGGTTAACAAGATTTATAAAAGTTTAATTTAAATATCAGCAGTGTTAATCTTTTTTTTTTTGCTGTCTTTAAATATATCAGTTCAATTACAGCTATACAACGCATATAACTAGATAATGCACTGGTCCCCCTGCTCTTTATAAAAAAAAAAAAGGTGTTGTATATCTCCGTGCACTCCTATTGGTAGACTCCCCAGTGTGTCACTGCTCATTTTCTTTTAAGCTGAACTCCACTTTCTCACATCGTCAACGGTATCTTTTGGCTGTTGTCATCAGAAACCGGTAGTTTACATTTACATGAATGATTCCCGGTTGCTTTGATGCTGCAGTCGCTGTCGTGTGAACCCCGTAACATGTGGATCATTGTTTTGTGCATTTGCACGGCTTTAATTTGCCTGTGTTTGCACATTGTGACAAATTCATCTTGAGTTGGGCCCAAAGCAACATGTGCCAGACTCCAGAGGCTTGGATGACTAACTCTGCCCTGCCTGTTTTGTTTTCCAAACAGCTCTGTGAGATTTTAGGAGCTGACAGTTGCCTACCATGACGCTGTCTGGGATGGTTTGATCTTACAAAGTGAATAATTGTAATGTAGACATTGTCTTTTTGACCCATTTGATTACATTTACATAAGCCATTGCATTAATCATGGTAGCACAGGTTTTAAAATGTCGGCCAACCGGTTTTATTTCTGGTAGTATATTTTTGGCCTTGTCATACTTAACTGGAGCTAGATAGATTAATGGGATCTTTAGATCTGTTAAAGTGGTATACAATACATAAATATAAAATTAAATTAATTTATGCTGCAGCAGCAGTAGTATGATATAGTCGTAAGTGTTTATAAGCTGTACTAGAACTGCTTGTTTGTTTAGAGTGTGTGTCTGTGTACATGTGATGGAGGGGTGGAGTGATGATGGTGAAAAGTGATAGGGCATAGAGTCCTGGATACTTTGTCAGTATATTATGTGTTTCTTTCTATATTAAACATGTTTTGTACTTAACCAATAAGGGACGGGCCCATGCTATATTGTGAATGTAGTCATGGTGTTGCATGACATACAGTGGAGTGCCTTATTTTCCTTTATAAAAGGTAACAACATAATTAAATTATTAAGGACACGATTTAGTGATGCTATTGAGTGCCATCATTCCCCTAAAAAATATAGACCCTTTCAGAGATCCTGTTCACCTCTCTTCTTGTCACTTTCTGTCTTTATTAGACTTTCTTGTCGAATAAAGTCAAATTTATTAATAAAAAACGTAAATTCGCTATTCAAAAAAGTGCTATGTGTGCAGCGATAGGCATTTTCTGGGTTTCTTCTGCGAGGCGTATTTGGAGTTTCAGCGCGAGAGCGCCCTCTGACCTTTGGATGGAGATTTACTGCTGATCACAGAACCGTGCTTCACTGAAAGATACGCATGACAATCGCAGCTTCTGTCGAATCGCGATCTCGATTCCATTTCGATTTATCGTGCAGCCCTAATGTACTGTAAAAATTTTTTCATTTTAACAGTATAATACTTAAATACTATAATAATAATAATAATAATACTATAATATGCTACCGCGAAAACATGGTAATTGTTTAATGACAAATTCCCTTACAAATGTAAACTAATATTCTCAATTTTGTGTGGTATTTTGTTTAAACAATTGTTTCATACTAGATTTTGTTCTCAGTTATGTACATTTGGGACTTATGTTACATCTTATGTTCTTTAATATTTATTGAACTATTTGTTTGGGTGTATCGGTACGTACCTCGATTTTGGGGTCACGGTTTGATACGAGTTTGGTACAACAGGAAATGTATTTTATTTATTTTGAAAATACAGTAGTGATACATACATGTAGCATGAGCAGTTGTTTTTTATTTGAATTAGATTGTATAATTTAAAGGGAAAACAGAATGGTCTGACTTTAGATATGTGAAATTATGCTACATAAGTAGGGTTGCCAACCGTATCGTATAATATGAAATTGTCTCGTATTTAACGCATCAGAGAAGCATTCCGCATGAACGCTATACAGAACGTAGTTTGTCCCGTATTCGCAGGCATACGCCGTATGACCATCTAGACCATACAAATAACAAATTAACCATTCTTTTTGCACAAATCATTGTTTGAATTGTGAACATAGCCACTCAAGGAAGGCTTTAAGAACTTGCAGAATCCTCTGCCGCCTGGTCGCTCCCACTTCACAGCTAGCGGGGCTCGCAATAACGGCAATCCCCTTCACCATCCGTGTTTTGATTTTGCCAAATCAGTTTGGGTGAATACAAAGAACGTGATTATTGATCATAAGCACAACATCCAGCTAGGCAAGAAAACATGCAATCTACCTGAGGGAAGACGTCTTTCAGTATTGTTAATATATTATTATTATTAATACAATATTAAGTTAATGTTGTTAAATAGCGAAACAAAATTACACATTTTTAAAATTGTAACTTCTAGACTAGCATATTCCTAAACCTGGACCTCGTTAATATTTAAGAATAAATTCAAGCACCAAATGCAGCCCACACACACTCCAAGTTCTCTTTAGTTGAAAAATATTTATTTTCATGAATTCATAGGCTACATGGTTGCAATATAATTTTAGTTCAAAATTTTAAATGCCATTGTTTAAAAAAAATGCTTTATTGATTGACATTTCATAGACGTTCAGTTGTTATACTTTCAAATGTTATGCCATATTGTATGTAATTTCACTGTATATTCACCTCCTAAATTACTACAACACTTGTGCAGTCACAATTCTATAGTGGTAAAATTTACTCAGGCCGATGCTTTGTGTATAACATGCGTGGCTTTTTTTTGTATGACATTAAACTTTATTTTTAGAATAATTGTACATGGGTAAAGCAAAACAAATGTGATTATTTCTGAGAACCTTTTAACCACATTTTATACACATACTTAACTGTAGACACGGAAATGTCATACTCTATGTGGTACAGAACAAATATTTTGAGCGTACCTTATTCTGTCCCTTATTTTCCTACAATCACAGTTGTCCCTTATTTTCATTTTCTGAAGTTGGCAACCCTATACAAAAGACACCTGCACAAAACAAAAACAGCAGATGGATTGAATGAAAATGCAAATCTATTGTCTGACAGCAGGTGGCGCTTATAGAACAGCAGTGATAGTTTCCTTGGTTACCGCTTTAAAAAAAGGCAGCTGCGCTTATAAACACTACTTTAATATGCATTACATGGAGGTAAGAGGAATGCCATCAAAACTTGTGATGAACTCTAATCCATCATGTGCCAATTATACAGGTACAAAACAGAGTATCTGAATGTAATATTAACATTATATCAGTTAATGAAATATACCGTTTTTTTTAACTGTAAATTTGAGTTCAGTCCCGTGAAACCTAAAATATTGCTAC